ACGGGTTCGCACTCGCTAAGCGGTGCTTCCACGAGCACTCCGGGCTCAATGCTATTGGCCAATACCATTGTCCAGGTTATGCCGCCGGATGGTTCTGGATATCCCCTGATGAAGCCGAACGGTCACCCCCATAACGGCTGTCCCGCAGTAACAGTTACGGGCCCTCATGAGCACTACAACCCGCCCGGAATTATGTATGTTCCTACAGGCATGACTGGCGTTTACCATGACTACTCGGGCCAACAGGCAACACAACAGACAGGCTAACCTGTTGGTATGGTTGGTCACGAACATCCGCAGGGAAAAACAAACTTACGACCTACTGGCCATGGGGACATTTGCGCAGTCTCAAGTTTGCAAACAACGAAATATCAATGGTTAGCTAATCCTGATGACCAACTCTATCCCTCCTCTGTATCTTCTCCCGGATATGTTCGTCTACGCGTCCCCCATTCATCCCCTCCGCCTCTGACGATCGTGCTGATAGAACAGGTTGGTTGTCCCCCCAATCTGCAATTGAATCAATGCCCCGGTGTACCCACTGCATGCAGAGCGAGTTAGACGGGCGAATTATCGACTGGCCTTCTCTGCTTTCTTCCCTCTCTTCCACCCTATTGCAATTAAGAAGAATACGGGGAAATCGAAAGAAAAACAGTTTTTTTTGCTTTTTTGATCATTGAATTCTTTCAGCGACCTTTTTACATTCAAGCACCGCTGTCAATGACACTATTACAACCTTTTTTCTTCTTTGTTTTCAACTTATTATAATGGCGTTCCAGGGTTTGTGAAAAACACATACAATTCTTTTCTACGAACTTTGAAGACACTGTCTGCATTTTATATTTCAATCCATCTCCCAACTGACCCCATAACAGGATATTTATATATGTAGATAGTTTTACCAGTGAACAAAAGAACATGCATCTATACAAGCGCCGACCGATATCTTAAAAGCCCGGAGTCGCCTGCCGGTTTTCTATTTTTCATTCCGTCCAGCTGGCCACTCCGAGACCTTGAAATTGAAGTTCAACGCTGCCTCCTGCTAGTTACAACGGAAACACGGTGAAAACGTTACAGTTCCCAGGGCATCAGTGTTAAGATGTACATGAACATCTCTCCATCCTCATGTAACTTCTATAATTCCCCGCCCCCTCTTCTTTATCCTCAGTTGTTTATCTACGGTAATCATGCGCGCCAAAACAGCAGCCATTGCTTTTATCGGTTTCCGATCTAATATTCATTGCGGTTTTGACACTGCGTCTCCCAGGGTATATTTGTCGTTCAGATTCTCCCGTCATCTCCTTCCCCAAACATCATTTTTTCACACTGTCCACCATCGCCATCACCACCACCAACATTATCCTCACTGATTATTATACAGGGTAAGCAGACAACCAGCAAACAGAACGAATACCTTATCATTGTAACTTCTAGTTTTCACGGCCTTTTCGAGGTTGCGCCACAAATTTCGTATTTTAGCCTATCAAGTCCTTGTCCAACCAGCTAACCATCCATCCATCCACCACCACTCCCTCGTTTTGTCCTATTTCATATGTCTTCGAACCACATCTCCGGCCGATCATCTCGCATGTATGTACGATGCCTAAAACGGGGTCATCCAATCGCCCCAGTGTTTTTTACCTGTTTCCTCCAAAAGGTTTGTTCATGAATGAATGCTCTGAAGAGAAAATCCGACTTCTCTTGACACCCCCTGCTGACGAAAAATGTCCAATAGGTGGTAAAATGGGGCGCGGACATATCGCTATTTAGAGTTTTAGAGGTTAGCATAGTAGAAAGAGCGTCTTCAACTATCTTGGCCAAAAAATATTCGTTTAGTCTATACTCGTACTTGATCCGATTAGCTCCTGTTGTTGGACGAATCGGCTTCACGGATGTCACGGATAGCAACGGCGGCCCATTGGCAGCGATAGGAAGCGAGCTCCTCGCAGATGTTAACCTATTGTTCATTCCAGTGTCGAAAGCCGTAAACGGTTACGAGGCCTATCCGTTAGACCTTCGACTTGATGCTGTTGAGCCATGACTTCAGTTGACCGTCATGTCGGTATCTCCAGTTTGCACTACAAGAGGGGTCCAAGACCAATCTGCAGAGGTCCGTCCATGGCTTGCGCAGAACATGGCCAAACCATTGCAATCGGCGATGCTAGATGTA